GACCCTGAGCTGGTCCAGACCTATAGGGACAAGGGCAGTGTACAGGGTGACAGGGAACCCCAGAGTCTCAGAGTTCAAGGCACAGGACTGACAGGTCCAGTAACCAATTGTTCAAGTTCCTGGCCCTGCCTATACGGAAGTCAGACATACTCACCTGTGTGTGGGACTTCACCTTCCTTCATCATGAAAGACAAGATGATGAAAGTTAAACCTAATTCCCTATTATCCTACCATGTTGTGGGATTGGCACCAGTTAGACACAGTATCTTTATCTCAAATGGGGATCAGAGTCTCACAGACTTCTTGCCGTGTTGGATTTGAACCATGAAAATCAGATCTTAGCCTCCTGATTTGATATGATTACTTGGGCCTGGATTAGCTAGTATGATTTTTGTTTTTGTATTTTTGATGGCCATGGGGCTTGAACTAAGCCTTGAGTTGCTGTGTGAGCTCCTTTCTCCAAGCTAATGCTCAACCACTTTGAACCACAGCACCACTTCAGGTTTTTGAGTGGTTAATGGGAGACAAGTGTATCTTGAGGATTTTGTACCTCACCTGTCCTAGAACCACAACCCTCAGATCTTAGCTTCCTGAGTAGCTATGTAACAGTTGTGAGTCACCAGTACCCGGCTAGCTAGTATGTTCAAAGTTACTTGTTTTCCTGCTGTTTCTCATCTCAAAATAAAATCCATTATTTCCTAGATATGGAAGAGATGACAGAAGTTGCAGTGGATGTGGGAGCTGCCTTCCTCACTCAGACTGCAGGTGGAGTTCTGGGGAACTCCTGTTCTCCTTTGTTTTTACACCTATACTCTCTTCACTGGACAGAAGGTGAGGCCCAGAGACTCCATCCACAGCCATCTGGTCTTTGCCAACAACTTGTTTGTTTTATCCACTTGCGATCCCCCAGACAATGGCAGGGATTGTATGGAAGTACTTTCTAGATGATACTGGAAGTAGAGTTTTTTATAGTTCTACAGAGTAGCCAGAGGGGTTTATCTTAGCACCACCTCCCTTCTAGTGGCTTCCAGGTTTCAAAGCTTTGCACTAGAAATGCTTGGTGGAAGATCACTACTGGATTCCTCAAGTGCTTTGGATTCTGTGGTTCCTCTTTCTGGATCTCACAACTCCTGGTCAATGTTTCTGTGCCTCTGAGAGTGATTGGCCTAAGGCACAAACAAAATGTCACTTTGCACATGCTGCATAGGCCCAGCAGAAGCCTTTGCAACATTATTACATGTTGCCTCATTCATTTCCATTGATGTTATGTGCCTGGTTTTCATGATGTGGGCCAGTGGCTCCGTGGTCTTTTTCCTGCACAGACACAAGCAGAGGGTCCTGCACATTCACACCTACATTCCCTCTCGAAGACCTGACCATGAGGCCAGGGCCATGCACACCATCCTGACCTTGGTGAGTATGTTCCTCTCCTTCTACTGCCTCCATTTTTACTCTTTGTGTTGGTCTAAATATGAAACCAGACCTGTGGCTGGTAGACACGTCTGTGTTCCTGGGTTTGTGTTTCTCAGTCCTGAGCCTCTTTGTGCTTCAGCAGAGACACTCGTATCACTCAGGTGTTTTATTTCTGCA